CTCCTTCCTCCTTCCTCCTTCCTCCTTCCTCCTTCCTCCTTCCTCCTTCCTCTATCCTTCCTTCTTCCTCCTTCCTCCTTCCTCCTTCCTTCTTCCCCTTCCCCCTTCCCCCTTCCTCCTTCCTTTTCCCTTTTTGGCTTCTATTTGCTTATTAAGCGCTTGGAATAGTCTTTAGAAGTAATGGAAAGTTGTGTGGGAGTGAATGTCTTGTTTGCAGTACAAGCACCTCAGTAGAAATTTACGTTAATCCTTTGTTATTCTGCAGCCCTTTTCTGTTTCCTTTCGAATGTCGACAGCAGCTATTTTATTGCACTGCTATGGATAGAGACAGGGCTCTTAGCAAACTTCAGGTACCAGAGAATTTTTCGCCTTCTGAGATTTATTCAGTGAGTTACAAATCCGCTGACGATGTAGCTTGATTATATATTCTTCCACAGGAAACATTACCGGAGCTCATGAATACTGACGCATCAGATCGCGTTGCACCGAGATTTGACAGGAAAAAGGTGTGTTTTTAAACTGACTGGGGGTTTGGACAACATTTAATGCTGAAGGCTAGTAAGCTAGTAATGGCCCCTCGTCTAGAACAAGACTGTCGAACAAAGCAGGGAACTCGCTCTTCCAGAAATCCAAAGAAGCAGCTTGGCAGGTGCTCGGTTAGAGGGAAACTCATGCGTGTGTTCATCTCAATAACTCCGCACCTGCAAAAAAACTAAACTTCGACGTTATTCTCACGAATCTACGAATGGGCTTGTTTCGAATTTCTTTAATGAGTCGAGTTGGGGATTTCCATTTGCATTGCAGCACACTGTATCTCGAGTGGGACTTCTGGACCAAGCAGAGAAGTTGATAGGTGATCTTGGTAGCTCACAGTCTGTACTGGAAATACAATACGAAGGCGAGGTAAGTACAACTATGGCTGCATACCGGCTGTTACATTCTGGCTTAGCTATCTTTCGAAGTAGCAAATGTTACAAAAAGGGTTGCTTAGTAGGGAGTCTTTGGTTTGATGTCATTTAGGTTGGGACTGGCCTTGGCCCCACTCTGGAATTTTATGCTCTGATTTCTCAAGAATTCCAACGTGCAGACTTGGAGATGTGGAGAGGAGAAAGTATGCTGCCTCCGGGAGGAACTGGTATGATTAGTGGTAATTCACTGATGGTTTTTTTTGTCATACGCAAGTAGTTAGTTAGTATGTTCTTCGGGGGGCTTTTTTAAAGCACGGCTTGGAGGAACATAACTGACTGATAGGTAATGAACGTCAAGTGATACGATGACTCATAGTTTCCCTTCTCACTCGTTAAATCACATTGTTTTGGCAGGATCTGATGAAGACGTGTCATATGTTTACTCCCCAGCTGGCCTGTATCCAGGTAAGCCTAAACTCGCGTCACCTAAAAGTGATTGGCGAGATGAGAGAGAGTCCATTGTGCATATTTAATTACTGCATGGACTAGTTATCAAGGTTTGGATCTTTCCAGTGTTCAGCTAAATGGCAAAGAACTCCACTCTGGAGTATTTATCATATCGTTTCATTCTTAGCCCCAGTTTCACGCACTGCCAAAGCAGCAAATGTGTCAAAGCTCTGCTCCAAGTTCCAGTTCCTGGGTAAATTCTTGGCTCGTGCTATCATGGACTTTAGAATCCTCGACATTCCCTTCTGCCCCATACTATACAAATGGCTTCTCAATCAGGAAGGCACACTAGACCTGGGTGATCTGGCTGCTGTAGACTCAGTCTTGGCTCAGTCGCTGACCCAGCTGCAACAGGTGGCACAAAGAAAGAAACAGCTGGAGCAAGACTCCTCTCATACTCCAGACAGTAGGCAGCTGGCTGTGGATAGTCTTACCTTGGATGATGTACCCATCGAGGATTTGGGTCTTTCCTTTACTCTACCAGGCCATCCCGAATTTGAACTCAAGGTATAATTACACCTTTTTATTCATGCGACAAGTTTGAGCTACTGAGTGAGGGTTAAACTTCGGGATACTTAGAGAAAAATGTAACACTAAGATGGAAGAGTATTCCACCTTCATAAGAATGCACCGAGGATTTGCAAGATTGATGACGTAACCTGTTAAAATTACTAAGCGCGAGAGTTCAAATGCACAGACGAGCTTTAAACTACGAAGGGGATGAAGCCGACTTCTTGGTTTTGATTCTTTTATTATTATTATTATTATTATTATTATTATTATTATTATTATTATTATTATTATTATTATTATTATTTGTTTCAGCGAGGAGGAAAGGATATCACAGTCACAATTCATGAACTGGAGGAATACATTAAGGTATCATTTGGTGTATAACACGAGTCATTGCTTTTGGTCGCATGAAATAAACCCTCGATTCATCTCAGTCAGAAATAATTGTTTGAAAGTTAAGAGGTTACAGTTCAAATGTTCAATAGCTCAATTCCTGCAGTTTGTTGCGTAACTTATTGCTTATTTTGTTCTTTGTGTTGTTTTCTAGCTGGTTGTACAGTGGACTCTAGTGTCAGGTGTAAGACGACAAATAGATGCACTCCGTGAAGGCTTCAACTCTGTGTTGCCTCTATCAAATCTTACCAGTTTTTCATACACTGAGGTAATATATCTAAAAAAGAATCTTCAGCATAGCTTATTATTTACTCGTGATCTCTAAGGTACCTAAGTAGTTGTTTGTCTCACGTCAAATTTTACCGAGATCGAAATATTCAAGTGAAGGAAATTGGTCAGCACTGTCGTATTCCACGGTGGAATACTTGGTAAGAATATCAACTCAGCGTTTACCCTTCCCTAGGAAATTACAGAAGACGGATCTCACTCGTTTGAGCTGTTGAATCATGACTAATTTACTGACTGAGATCAAGTGATTTATACGAAGGATTTTGTTCACAGATGGAGCTGGTTCTTTGTGGTAATGTGGCCGAGAAGTGGGACTTGAAATGTACGTACTCGTATGTTCGTTTAATGGTATAACCGTGGTGTATTGCTGCTAGAGATAAACGATGTTCTTCATTTTACATCCCTTCATACCTTACACCTACGCTAATTTTTTTGTTTTATTTTTGTTGGTCAGGTCTTGTGGAGAGCTGCAGACCTGACCATGGCTATACTCATGACAGGTAAGGAGCTTTTACATGAACTGCTCGATTCTTCATATGTATGAGTGATCTAGATAAAAAAGTATAGTCGAGATTTCCTACTGCCCTGGAGCAACACGTTTACGAATTAAACTTATTTGAATCCTTTTTGAACCCATTATTCTCTTGTGGTAACAAATTTCAATGGGAATAAGAAAAGTTCAACAACAAAAAAATCACTTTTCTGCATAACAGTTATTTATTCAAACAGAGATTATTGTGCATGCTGTTCAGTCCAAGTAAATTTGATTGTTGAAACCAGTGAGAAGCTTGGTACATTTCTGCATCCTGCTATCATATGCACCAAAAGGAAAAAGTGATATCAATGATAATGAGAAAAGTGACGAGAGCTGAATTTCGTGGTGTCCTCATTCAGTTTGTGTCGTATGCTATTCTTTTGTTACAACAGTCGTGCTGTCAAGATTTTGTTCGAGATACTTAGTGGTTACACACAGGAAGAGCAGAGGCTATTTTTACAGTTTGTCACGGGCAGCCCTAGCTTACCAGTTGGAGGTAAGAATCAAATTACGGCTCCTTAGTTCTAGAACTCTTTCGCTTTTTATTTAAAACCATTTGATTAAGTGTTCTTGACATGCGTCAAAAAATTTGATGATTTAATATTCAACAAAACTTTCTACATATTTTCACCGTTACATCAGCGTGTATTTTGCAAAATATAAGTGGCCTTAAATGGAGAAACGATATCTCAGTGTGTTTGTTTTATCACAGGCCTGCGCAGTCTTAATCCACCGTTGACCATAGTTCGCAAGTCGTTTGAGCCTCCATTGTGTGCTGATAACTACCTGCCTTCTGTTATGACCTGCGTCAATTACTTGAAACTGCCAGACTATTCCAGCAAAGAGATCATGGCTAGCAAGCTTAAGCTGGCTGTCTTAGAGGGACAGCGTTCATTTCATTTGTCTTAAGTCTTCACACACCATCCCAAGTGTACGCTCCAACACACTCATTGTCGAACAAGTCGAACTGCGACCGCTTGACGTGATGGGAAGTACTCACATCAATTCTTTTAAATGTTCATGTTACCATCAAAATCATTGCGAAGTTGACAAATTTGGTAAATAAAGAAATTGTTAAATTTTGATAATATGCTTTCTTAACTATTAAGTTCATGTTAAAAGTCATTGACCAACCACTTGACTCTCTTAAGTACGAGGCTTTATTATTGCTACAGTAATAGAATGACCTTATTGCAGTATGCAGTTTCATTTTAGGTTTTAACTTTCTGCCGTTCTCTTTTGTTTGTTTTTTTTTTATTTCTCTTGGGGTTAAGATTGATTGATTTACTTGTTTGTAATATATTTTAAAAAGCCTTATATACATAGCAATTGTACATAAACATGACGGATTATTTGCTTCCCAGAGCTTTCACGGTGTTTGACTGTGCTCATCTCTCCTTCTCTTCCCATCCTTTCCCTTTCATTTCCTTTTTGTTGTAGGAACTCTTCTTATTTACAGTCAGTGAAGAGCATACTGTACACATATTGGAATAAGGTCGCTTGATAGAAATCACTAACTTTGATTGTTAAATACACGTGTTAAGGAGAAGAAATTGAACCACCAAGACTATGCAAATCAACACTGTTTACTAAAACTATGAAAGCTGTGTCCATGAAGAACTACTTAAGGATGTTCACAGCCGCTGTAAATAATCGACTAAAGTCGACTTGTTTCAGTATCATTCTATGTTTTACTCGTTAGTTTGCAAAAGAAGGAAACCTAAATTTTTGTAACTGTACAAAGGCCTAATAGTACCACCACACAACAGTAATCTGTATTACAGACGTATGTGATGTTTGCTTGGAAATAAATAAAAAAAATATAAGTGGTAATTTCCAATAATCCTATCTAGCATGAAATTATTCATGGTGGGTACTCCTCCTTCCCTGCGCAGCTGACAGCTCTTTTGCCCACTATTAGGACTTTACTTTCTTACTATGAATAGTTAGCTTGAGTGTTTGAGGTCTGGAAGAAGATGGGGATCGACTCCTTTTTTTCTCTCTCTCTTTTTTTTTAATCTCAACGTACTCCAGACTTTAAATTGTTTTTGATCGATTGGTAGGTTAAGTTGCTTCACAAGAAGTCAATGCTTCGGCAACTTTTGCATTGGCACTCCTTCGCTTTCTTTTGTACCTTTGCCTTTTGATCCGCTGTGTTCGTCGGTACCTTAACACAAAAAAAACAACGCCAACCAAGAACAGACCGAAAATAGCACTGACTACAATAAACCCTATCCGCAGATTTGTGGCAGAGCGCTTTTCAGGCTGACCTGAAAGAAAATAGTGAGATATATGTCAGGTTGTATTAGTAAAGGAAGATGGTAAATTTTGGGTGTGGTCGTCGAATGAGTTCTTGAGGAAAGATAAGTCACTCTCATGAGTGCTCCGAGCTAACAGTCCTGGGTCCAGATGCTCTACCATCGAGCTTTAGTTCAACTCACAGGCAAGTTAGATCGTGTATTATATATTTCTATATCAGTCAAGTGCACTATGCAACGATCAGCGATCTGTTATTCATTATTCAGGATTGAGATCACGGTGAGGTGGATTTTGAAAAAGAAACATTCCCCACCTGGAGTAGGCTTGATGGTAACCTCTGGACTGCTTGCTACAGTTACGGTACTCACTGTGGTACTAGGAATTTCGTTATCTAGAAAAAGAGATATCAACCAAAGGTTAGGGTACATGATGTCTTTTTACCTGATCAGTTTAATTGATAGAGCGCTGGAATGCCAGGGGGGGAGGTTGAGTGTTCGAGCTCCACCCCAGACAAAGATGCAGGGTGCTGAAGTAACGCGGAAGAACGGGTTGTCTTAATGCTTATGTAATCTTCAAAGGGAAGGAAGATAAACAGCCGGTTACGTCTACTTTAGAGTTGAATGCTTAGAAAGGATGTCTAAGAAGCCCCACACACTTGGCACGGTGAGGCATCGAGTACCCGGTGTTGTGTTTTGGTACCTGTGCGTCACGCTGTCGTGGTTTGGGAGGCGGGAAATGCTGCGAGAAAATTACCTTACTAGGAGATCGGAGTGTGAATATTCATTTATGGCAGTCTTAAAATATAATAACTCGTGGCATATGCAAATCAAGACTAGGGTAAAGTTAAACAACTTTTGTCACTATCTTCAGTTCCCTTCAACCTACATTTTCCATTAACAGTGATAACGCGAGTACGCTTCTCTCCTCCAGGGTGGTTATAAGTCTCAAACAAATACTGTCGTAATCCTCTCTTTGCTCTGATCTCCACCGCTGACTTTGTGATCACAAGAGCCGGGTTTGAAGTAATGCTTGATTTTAAGAGGACCTTGTCAGGAAGAGAGTACCAGTCCATTCGCGGCTGAGGTTTTCCAGTTACAGAGCAGGTCAGTATTATTGGTTGCGCTTGTGAGGCGGTAATAGTAAGGTTAGGAGTGCAATTCTGTATCTCTACAGGTTCTTATTAAAAAAATAAAGAACACTTTGTTACTGCTAGGACTTCAGCCGAGTGTACCGAAAATGACAAGCATCAAGGTATTGCAAAGAGGCTTTAGGATAGCTGAACATTGTCTAGTATCAGAAACAGATAACCTCTTCGAAAACTTATTCTTCTGATAGAAACGTACTGCTCAGTTTAAAGGGCTGCATCTACCCGCACTTACCAACTGTTCGCAAAAAAATTGCATGAGAATGACACATGGGTACGTCATTGAGTACAAACATCTCGTACAATATACAGTAGACATTCTCCATAGTGGCTGAATAATTTGTGATCCTGAAGAACACCATTCTTCCGTTCAGATCGGCATCCATTGTTGCTCGTCCGTTGTACAAACCAGCATGATAATCATCATAAGTTCTAAAAAACTTTCCCTTAGCTTGAGCGGACGCTACTTTCTCCATTATTAGCTGAACTGGTCTTTTCAAGGCAAGTACCGTGAATCTTGTCAGTTTTTGTAGATTTATATCCGCGGGAATTTTCCAACAAAGTGTGACGTTGTCAGCTTTAGCAGCGTACGTCACAGTAGCGCTTGGGCACGAGGAACCTGTTAAGTTCACCAGAGTAAACAACATTTCATGATGTTTTGAAATCAGTTTCGAAGCGAACTCTAAACGGTCAGTGTAAAACGAAGACTGCGGACTGCAGGCCGGGGGTAAAATGCAGACTGAGGGTAAAATGCAGAATGCACACCAGGGGTAAAATGCAGACTGCAGACCAGAGTTAAAATGCAGACTGAGG